AAAAAATTACATGATAAAATATATGAGAAGAAAGTAAATTTGGATGAGGTATAAAAGGACAAAAACTATTTAGGACGAATCGTGTCGTACGAACAGTAAGGGACGAATTGTCGTATACCAAAATGAGTGGTCATCCATTTTTTATCTACTTCTTTATTTATATCAATTTGTGCTTGTAATTGTTTAGCTAATTGTTCTTTTTGATTTTGTAGATTAGTAATTATCTTATATAGAGAAAAACAAATTCACATTTTAATTGAATCCAAAAGAATTTAACTTACAATGCCTCGTTCTTTACTTGATTGCATTAATAATTGAATTTTTTCTTTAATTTCTTGTTCTTTTGGTTTAACTTTAACATAACCATCAGATAATAATTGTGCAATTTGTTGTTTAAATGCATCAAAACATGATTTTATATAAACAACATCATTTCCTATTTGTTTCATATGTAACTCATGTGATGAATATTTAATTTCACGTTGATCTAATTCACCACGAGTATTTTGCCAAGCTTTTTGAATTGAATCAAGACGTGATTTAACTGTTTCAAGTTCTGCTTTTATTGTTTCTTTATCATGAAGTGCAGCATCACGTTCAGCTTTTATTGTATCATTTTGTAAACAATGATTTACATTATAATGAACATGGGATTGTAATTGATTTGCCATTTGTTGAATTGTTGCACGATTTGATTGAGCTTCTTTTTCTAATAATTTATTTGTATCTTCAATTGTAACCAGTTTACCTTTTAGCACCGTATTTTCAGCATTGATATCAGCAATCTTAATATAGAAATATGTGGATTTTATTTTTATTCTTCTGTAAAAATAAACTAGTAGTTATAAATGGAGTAGAAAGATTACTTATGCAAACTCTTTCAGTATTTAGATCAATAGTAGTTTAGTTTCTATATGATTATATAAGAAATATTTATCTACACAATCTAACTTTATGTAAAGAGATCTCTCTAGAAGAAAAATATCATAGATCACTCTCTACAATCATAAAGTCAATAACATATATGACCTTGGATAAAATATATCGACAAACGAAATATAATAGAAAGTTTAATTTTTATTCTTACTCTGCTTATAACTGTTTCAAATGAAGCAGCACTAGGTTGTCCATAATTATGTCCAACTGTAACACTTAATTGTGCAAATAATTCTTGTATTTTTTTATGTAAAACATCCATTTTCCTTTCGCTTGCTTCTCGTTCTTCCATATGTGTTCTAAAATAAAGATTTGTTATAAAGGAGAAACAAAACTAGACTATTTTTCTTAAATATACCTTGTACGTGCTTGTAATTCAAGTAATTGATCTTGTTTTTCTTTTGCATCTTTTTGTATTGATGATATAGTTAATGTTGATTTATTAGAAACAGAATCATATGAATTAACACTTGATTCCAATTCATGTACACGTAAACGTAATTGATAATTAGCATGAATAATTAAATCATTTTCCTTTTTTAATTCATTGATACGGTCATCTTTAGCAGCTAATTTTATTGTTGTTTCACGTAACTATAATTTTCAAGTTAAATTAAATAAATAAATAAATAAAAAGAATTAAGTACGTCATGAGTTGATCCATATCGATCTGATTCAAAATGAACATGTTTATCTGCATCTCTTTAAAAAGAAATATAAGCATGTATAATTAGAAAAAATTATTTTAATAAATACTTCATTGTTGTTAATTCCAGAACACGAGCATCTCTATTTTCTAAATCTTTTTTTAATAAACGTACTTGACCTTGTAACTATAATTATAAAGTAAACTAAGATTTCATTTATTATCAAAAATTTATTTACATCAACTAAAACATTTTTAGATTCAATACTTTCTGTAGAACCAGTTCCGTATCCAAGGTAATTAAAATTTGTAAATGTGGTTGTATATGGTAACTGACTTGACATACCATATGATCCAAGATAAGCATTATATTGAGGCTGTTGCGTAAGTGGAACATTCGAATATGCATTAATTATTGCTCTTGCTGAACCGAGTTCTCGTTCGAGCATATAACTTGATGATGTCATTTTTTCTACTAATTCAAAATATGCATGTCAAATTAATATGTTACTTGTAGTATACAAATATATTCTTACGGGTGGGTGTGGATAAGGAGAGCACCCACACGTCTGACTTTTTATTCTCGACGGGAAAAGAATAAATGTCATTAACAGATGATAACGTTCAAACGCATAAGTCTTACATAAAACACTAATTTATTCTGTCTATCAGTTTCACATGTATATAAAACCTACCTTTTTCTACGAATTCTGCAATGGACAATACTGAAGCAAAAAATGAAAAATGCTGTTTACTTTCATTCTTAAATAGTCCTTGATGCACTTACATTAGCAACCGAAGGAAGATGAAAGCAAAACAAAACTTGACAACCCTATTGAATCACTGATTTCTATGAAGCTTAAAACTGGCCTGCAGCATATCGATGGGTTTTTTTCACTTTCTCCCTTATTTTTTCGATTACTTAAGAGTAAACAAAAAGCTCTCCAAAAAACAAGAATCGGGTAAGGTGCAGTTGATCGAGCGACTTTTCGTCGAATATAGAAGGATTTTCGTCGAAAATTACTAAAGTAATAGCACTTACTATTTATTCTTCCACTGTGGGTGTTGCTGTGGGTATCAGTGAGGCTGTAAGTGTGTGTGAGTGAAGATGCGGGTCTGCATGGGTGTGGGTGTGAGGTAGATGTGGATATTAATATGGATGTGAGTG